AAAAGCAATTCCTACTCTATTCTGGTACTTTCATTGCATACTCTCCAAAGATTTGAATTCTTACACAAATGTCTACAATTTAGGATATCTTACAAGGAAGCTAGTATTTACCCAAGAAATCAAATAATTCTATCCCTCAAGATATAAAGAGACTCAGTGCCAAAGTGAAATACGGAATTCCAGTCTCAGCACTAAAAAGTCTCTTTTCAACTCTACTGCTGTGAAAGATGAAGATATGTGGCTAAAATGAAAGAAACACTTTTAAAATATAAAATAACAAAATATTAAAAGATATTCTTTTTCTATTCAACAGAATATTCAGAGACTATTAAATTTCCTATTCCCAGATCTCACTTATTCCTATAAAATAAGAGAAAATTCTCATCAGGTGGACTGAGTCTTTGTAATTTAAAAGTTTTGCTATTGGCAGGGGGAAAATCATAGGTAGCTGTGTTATGGGGATGATTGTTCAAGACAGTATTTTCCCTGAAATAAATGTGCCAACTTGACCAAAGAAAGGAGATTACCATAAAACAAAAAAGGAGCTAATTACTATACGTTCAAATTTTTAAAAAATGAAAAAAATTTTCCCTTTAAAGGAAGTAGTTTCCCCAACTTAAGATATGTTATATTCTAAATCAGCTTACTCTACAATTTTCTCTGGCTATCTTTGGAGTCTTTGGTGTACATTCACAAAATGGCTTAAAAAAATTAACAAAATGGTAATATGACATGTATTTTCCCAAACTAAATTCTTGAATTTTCTTCCTGAAAAATCAAAATATCATCATATGTGAGTTATTTGTAAACATTTCTCTGAAATTGTGATTTAAAATGGGATGGTGCTTTTGAATACATAAAACAAAAATAATCAGAGCAAAGAAACTGATAATTCCATCCACCAAACCTAATGTATGTCTTAATAAAAAAGTTCTTGGTCAAGTTTAGATCTACTCTATGGGTCATGAAATATATTATGTCATTTTTTAAAAGCTTCTTACCCTATTTTCATGTTGTTACACAAATGATTTACATCCATTAAGAATTATAAAGAAAATAATAAATGAAGTTGAATATAAAATACATACCACAGGATTTTCAAAAATCTGCCAGAGGTCATTGTTATAATGGGAAGTGTTGTAATTAGCAGTTGATAATAGCCTTCCAAATTCATGTCTATTAGAAATGTACATAAATACACCCTATATGCCAAAAAATAACAGTATTAACCTTAAATGTAGGTACAAAAAATAAATTTAACCATAGGAAAAATATATAGATGATATTAATTTCAATTTTTATATTTCCTTTAGGAACATGCATTTTTACTTTTCATATAAAACATGCATGATTTAAAATAAAAGAAATAAAATTTTGATTAATGAATTCAGACACCACATAAAACTAGTAGATAGCACTGACACTCAACTGAAAAAAGAAGAATGGACTGTTTTTGTCCCTTTTTCATTGATCCTAGATGTAGACATCGGGAAAAAAAATTCCTGTTTGAAAGCAGAAATATTTTTGAGACACCAAAGTGCAATAAATTATACTTCTTTTGGCTTCTTTCCTTTTTAAAGAAGACAAAGTCACATTTTTAAGCAAGAATTCAAAGTGTCAGTAATATTTCATCAGTCTATTTCATTCTTTTATTTTTCTAATGTTTAAAGAGTGAACATAGCAATGAATCATGCATTATAAAGGCAACTAAAGAAAACCAGTCTTATATCCTTGTCCCAAACGAAATAAATGTGGCAAACACCACTGAGGTAAGGTTGTTTCTTTTTGTACCTGTTTTAATGGTAAATGGTTAGTGATTAATAGAATAAATCGATGAAGAGTACCCAAACCTCATTTTAATCGAGATGTACTTTTTACCTACTCCTACCTCCTCCTCCCCTTTGAAAAAAAAAGAAAAAAAAAACTAGACAAAAAATGAATGAAAGGAGCTTCATTAACTTTAACTTTCTCACTTCTCAACCATAAAATGTAAATCAGCCCAAAGAACCAAGAGCTATCACACAATGCACACCCCTATATCACACAAAACAAACGCATACACACATACAGATTACTAACCAATGAACCAACATTTTACCAAGCTAAATGCAAAGAAGGCTCTTAAAGGAAGTTTAATGCTAGGCAATATACCGTATCAAATATTAATTAAATAAACAAAAATAAAAATAAATAAAAATAACACCTTTGGGGGGCTGAGCATTTGGAATGTTTCCGGAGTAGGGGAGTCTTTTTCCCTTTGTAAAGTCTAAAATGAAGAGAAGCATTGGGTAAGTTGACCTGCACGCTCATTCTCTCAGGTATTCTTTGGTAAATAAAAATAGCAGCTCTTGATCAGAAGCTGACATTCCGAAATGTCTTTCATAGACAACATGCAGAACAAGCAAAGCTTATAGCGCACACAAAGAAACATCTCCAGCCCTTTCAGCCCTTTCTTTTCTTTTTTTTTTTTTGGTCAAACATAAATCCAAGCTCATTCCTTAGTAGGACTTACATTAGACACATAAATAAGACAAAGGGAAAAATGAGTAAGAGAGGCCATTCCAGGATGCGCTGTTGAGTCAAATTAGCCAAACATGAGCACAAAATACAATCACAGGTATTGAGGATATTCAATAATAACAATGCACATAGGTTTGAAGGAAAAACAAACATATTCAAACAACACATGCCTTGTTAAACTAAGAAAAAAAATACTTGCCAACTTTTCTGATTTTTCCCAAAATCGCAATTGCTTATATATATTTGGAAATAAAATAACCCAATCATTTCTAAAACAAAAAATCATATAAATATGTTATAAAACATATTTATTCACTTTCAAAAGAAAATTATTTTCTAAAGTCATTTAAGTTTTATAATGAAAGTATAGAACAACAATGTATCATTGGTTTTTCACATAGATTAAATATATTATATGTATCTCAACCCTTCCTCCAGTTTAGTGGTAAGGAACCTACTTTTTAACAATGTGAAGTTAATAATGAAATAAATTACACCCAGTTAGAGAAAATATGGACATTGATTTCAGAACGAAAATGTGTTCTTAAATGTGTAACATTTTACCCAGGATCATCTTACCCACGATTTTTCTAATTAATTTTAATTAGGTCAAGTTTTCACTACAGAATTTCAAATAGAAGCAAAGATATAATCTTAAAAGAACAAAGCTAATTTGTAACAATTCCATCTTTATTACTGAAATCCTACCCTGTGGCTTATGAGTCAGCTTGAGCATCAAACCCAATATTTTTCAAACTGTTTCTACAGATAAATTTTCACAAATTATTATCCAAATATGCTTCCCAGATTTTCAACACAGAACCAAAAAAATTGGCTAGTACTTATAAATTAGAAAGAAAAAGGGCATCGAAACACATTGACACACCAAGTGATAAAGCAAGCCATTATAAAACATTCAAGCAAGCCATCATTGTACATCTTACCATTTCTCTAGCATTTCGGCAAAGAGCCATATCAGGATCCAATTTATCGCGAACAAAGTAGTTTCTTTCATTCATCTCTGATCGGAGTGTCTTTCCTTTAATTAAGTACACATTAGCCATGTATGGGACATTCCAAATGCCTCTGAAAGTAAAGACATTCCAAAATGTCACAAATATAATTTTAAGTTTTATTTTTATATTTTTAAAATAAATGTTTTATATGTCTTTAAATTTTGTATATATAAATTATTCAATCAACACACAAATACATTTAATGACATTTGACACATATATATATATATATGAAATTACTTGGTATACATTATATTTTTAGGAAATTCAGAAGACAAACCACTGTCTTTCTAGATAAACTTCAATTTAGGGTTGGTATCTATTTGTCATTTTTGCCTATTATCTCTTAGTTGTTGCAGTTAGAGCATAATATTCTGTTTTACAGAATGTGTTCCCACTTAGTATTAAAGAGTTTGATAGCAAAAATAATAACATGCAACCAGTGGTGTGCTAAAGCCAGTTCATACTGGCACCCTAGGGCTGACTTTTAGTGCCAAGTTCATGTTCAGTGATTTCACATTGGATACTTGAAATCAGCCACAGAAGAAACATTTAAACCACAGGAAATGTCAAACATATATCAGGGCATCCCCTACCTCCAAGAGCCACTGAAAATAGCCTAAAATTCTAAATTATATTCTCCTGAAATTCATTAAGCCATTTCAAATCTTTTGTAGAAAAAGAAAAATATGATGAAATACAGCTGGAAGTGCATGAATGTTGGGAGATTCTCTTGTCTTGTGCTCTTTCCCACACCTACATCCTCACTCTGAATATGACTCATTTCCTAAGAACAGCATAAGACCAGTTTTGCCAGAAGAGCCGTGCCTGTTGCTTTTAGTGAACAGCAAGGAAAGATTTTGACCAAGGAAATGTAGTTAGATATGAATAGGAATATGACATCATTTTGTTTTACTAAACCTCAATGAAAACTGCCTAAACTGCCTTTAGAAGAACAGTAGCTCCCCCTTACCTGTGGGGGAGCTGTTCCAAGTCCCTCCAAGGGATGCCTGAAATCACGGATCATACTGAATCCTGTATATATAATACTATATTTTTCCTATACATACATACTTATGATAAAGTTTAATTTATAAAAATAGTAAAATAAAACTATTATAACAATATACTACAATAAAAGTTTTATAAATGTAATCTCTCCCTCCCTCTCTCTCAAAATATCTTAATATTTTCAGACCACAGTTGACCATGGGTAACTGCAACTATGAAAAGCAAAACTGCAGGTAAGAGGGGACTACCGCATGCAAAGTGTCAGCGAATTCGGAACTTAATCTCTGGTGAACTATGCATGTCTTTCAATTTTGAAGAAAAAATTACACAAACACGTACTTATATGTTTTAAGATGTCATTCATTAGTGATGCTTTTGAGCATGACGGGTATTCTTTTTAATATATTAACTGGATCAAAAGCCTTGACCATATTCTTTTCCTTATACTTTAGACGACCATGAAAGGAGAAAAATAGAAAAATCAACAGTGCCTAAAGTAACCCAGAAACATGAATTCTCCATTCTATTTTTGTGAAACCTCATTTCGGCTGTACCCCCAGATAATTTCAGGAATATGGTCTATACAAATCATCTCAGGGCCAATAAAATTACTTTGAAATGACAGAATATGATCTTACTAGGGTTTTCTCAGCTATCATGCTTTTTAATTGCAGCTAACAAAAGCCTTTATCATATTTACATCATTCAAATTTAAGCTTTCTAAACCGATTACTATTTTCACAAGCAAAACATCTTATCACCATGCAACTGTTCAAGGAGAAACACATGATTTTTTTCTAATTTAGTCCTGAGAGCATATTTCTCCTTTTAATCGGGCTGACCTATTTGAGCACTGAGGCAAAGCACTTAATGATTTAGTCACTCTGGTCTATCATCTGTATGAAAAAATGAATTATATTCTCCCCCCAATATTTCCTTAGCAAAACTATTTCGATTGTGATTATTTTTTAGTTTCAAAAATATCAACTGTTGTCTCTGAAATATCAACTGTTGTCTCTGAAATAATTATCAATCATGCATACATTTTGTACCATGTATATTCTTTTCAATCTCTAGAAACAGAAATTAGATATTGTTGAAAAAAACCTATCTTTAAAGCAATTAGCTATTTCACACAGAAAATGCACAAACCAGGAAAACTAGAAAGTTTTGATGTTAGTGTTATTGCTTGCTTATTTATAAATTTTAAAAACTATCCGAACATCTAATCATACCATTAAATAAATTAGCTAAACTAAATTCTCTTTCTAAACTTTTAAATGAAAACTATTACTCTTCCGCCAACCATAACATGGGATACCGATGATAACAATATGGTTAGTGTCTCTTATTATTTCCTACAACAATGCGTTTGTTTCATTGAAGATTTAGAATCTTAAAAACAGTTTTCTTAAAATATTTGTTTTACACTAGTATTTCAGGATTCCAAGTAGTCTCCAAATTCTCAAATTTCCATTAAATATAAAGAAAAGAGACAAATACTAAAAACTTTCAAGTAAAATTAACTGGACTACATCCTTAGATTATGGTATTTTACATTAAAAGATTAAATCAAGTAACTTACACTCTATTCCCTTGAACAATATCCACATAATCTTCAGATCGGGCATAGTATCCGTCAGGACTCAGTGCTCCCCAGAAGTTGGACCATAGCTTTCCATGACGAGTTACAAGAGGAGCAATGATCTTTCTAAAGACAGAGAGAGAGAGAGAGAGAAATTCACATAATTATTTATTTTTAAATCACCACAGAATTATGTGTTTTGGGCTTAACATGACACGTAACACAATAAAGTTCATTTAACACACATGCGGTTAATCCAAAAAAAATAAAAATAAAATGAAAAAGGAATTTCTTCCCAGCATCTTTTCTTAAATGAGTACACACTGCTAATTTTCAACCATATTTCTTAAAAAGAGTAACAAAAAAGGAAAAAAAGTCATTGAAAATGCTAATTGATATATAAAAATGACTTTTTTTTTTATTTATTATTCCAGGGTTTTGTGAGGGTACAAACATCGTAGTTACACTTTATGTCTTTGCCTCGCCCAAAGGCATGCCCTTCCCTCCCTTTAGTGCTCCCCGTGTCCTTTAGTTGTAGATTTGCCCCCCTATCCCCCTAATCCCTAGAGAGTATTTCTGCCATGTGATATAAATGACTTTTAAATGTACTCCTAATTATATTTAATTTAATTCAAGTATTTCAAAATGAAATAAAATATTTTCATTTTCATTGGGCAGACAATAGTCCCTTGTACATTAAGGTATCCAATAAATATTTGTTGATTGAAAAAAAATGAATGAAGATGGGCTGAGACATTCAGGAATAGGCCAGTTGTTTTTTATATTAAGTCTCAAATTACTTTAAAGTATGTTTCCATTATTTTATGACTTTTAAAAATGGGTTACAGTTATAGTACGCCAGCCTTGGCAAAATTAAACTTTTTTTTTTTTTTTTTGGTCCTTTAACTATTTTAGAAAACAAAATAGAGGAAATAGAGGATAAATGCCACAATGTTCTGTCACACTACCTAGCAGGAAAGTGGTCCAACTGAGATAAACATATGATACAAATTTAAAACATGCTAGATTTCCCCTTAGGGAAATCTAATTTGTAATGTCAGCCTTTTCCAAATGAGATAACAAAATCTGAAGTTATTCTAAAATGCAGTAGTGCCACACAATTTTTAAGAAAAGATCACACAACTCCTCCAAGAGGAAGTTATGGACTAATCATTCTCCACAAAAAAACCCCTTTCACAATATCCCAATCTTGTGAAGACCAGCTGGGCTCGCTCTTTTACATGCACAAAAGTAAAATAAAATAAATATATACCGTGCAAAATAATAATTCTATTTTTCCTGGTTCTCATTAAAATAAATTATTAACCAGAAACACACATTTGTTTTGTTTAGAATACCTACAATATTGGAAATAACATAAATTTGAATCTTTATAGATACTAATTTAGGGAATATTAATCCAATGTCAACAACTGACAATATCAAATATTTAATAGAAAAAACAACCTTGTAATTTATAATCCTAGCTGCCTCCTAAAAAGGGTTGAACCAAGAAGTCTGAAAAACCAAAATCCACCTGCTGTGTGCCTCAATGTTTCTGAGAATAGAAATGTAGGGGTAGCGGCTGAGGAACGATGAATTGTATTAGACAACTGAAGGAGTGAAATTTGGAACAAGGCAACAAATAGCAGAGGTAGGAAGAGGAGAGGGAAAAGAGAGCTGAGGAGAGGCTAGAAAGCCATGTGCCCAAGATGTGTCCCATTCTCTCTCCCTCTAGCCTTCAGTCAAATAAGGTAACTCTCACAACATTCTTGGTACATGTAAATTTACTATGGAGACCACATACGTGGATACAGAAGGAAAAACCATAGGTATCATGTGAACCTAAACCTTTGATAACTAACAGAAATCCATGGAACTGGAAATACAACCTGAGTTTTACTGATTCTTTAAGGGACAAGGGCCCCAGATGGCGGTTGAGTTCCTCACGAGGGAAATTTTTTCTTTCTAAGGGGAATATATGTTAAACACATAGTATGAATTCATTAAATAGTTCACTAAGAGAATAATTAATAACTATCTACCAAAGCATCATAAAATAAAAACATTTAAATATCATTAGAAGTGTATGTTCACTACACATTATTGCAATTCAATCAAATTAAGAGGGAATTAAAAATGCAAATTAAAGAAAATATTCCTGAATGGGACTAGGTGTTAAGAGTTAAAAATTATATTCTATTTAATATCTTTGTGGTATTTCAACTGCTTTTCTTTATCAAATGATCAAAACTTTATTCATATGCTTTGGAAAAGTACCTGCAATTTGTAGACAGCTTAGACACATATTTATAGTAGTTATACAATGTGGCTGTATACACAGATTGCTTCAGAGAGGTCTTCGATTTTGAAGTAAAAACTGAATCCTCAAATTGACAAATACTAGTGACATATCCTTTGCATATAGGGTGGGTTAATAAAGCATAATAGATATCCCATATATTTTACTTAGCAAAACAAAAAGTCATTCTAACATTTCATCAGCTAAACATTCTATTTATTATGAGAAATAATTGTGTTAATATACGTAAACATACTTAGAACAACATTTGGTACTTAGTAAGTGTTCATTAAAGTTAGGCTATTAGTAGGTATAGTAATAATGGTATTATTAGTAGTATCACTACTATTAACAAATGAAGATTAATATCATTATAAACTAATATACCTAGTGTCTTTTTCCCAATTCAATTAAATGAAAACAGGCACTGCCCAATGATAATTACTTCAAGAGTAAATAAAACTACAAAACTGGCTGTGGAATGATTTGTACCTCTGAAATTTATTTTCGATTCTAAGAACTATAACACTATGCAATAACTTTTTAGGTCAAAAGTTTTATGAAATTCTATTTAAAAATATCTACAGAGAACAAAACAATTCTAAATTTTATTAGTATCAGATATATCATAAGTTTACCTAGACTTAAATAGAAAAACAGACCAAATATAATCATATTTGTGATTACAAATAATATTAAATACTTCCAGCTGTCATCAGGTTGTTTTCTAGGACTCCTTTAAAAGAAACATAATTAATTAGAATAGAATGTTTGTAAGGTATAGAAAATAACTTAATGTGAGTTCCCACAATTTACTAAACATCAATAAGTAATTAAATGAGAACTGGAAGGAGAAAGGTCCCAAGAGGCTTGGAGACCAGCGACAAGGGTAGGTGGAGTGGTTTAACTTCCCCCTCCCTTGCATCTCGGACTGCTGGTGGCTCCTGAGCAGTTGGAGAGACCTGCCGACACCAGCCCAGAGACGGCTGCCGCCAGTGAGCAGTGGCCTCTTGCAGACTCAGCGCCGGGCTCCGAGCCCCCTCGGGTCACCTCCCCAGGCGCAGAGCCGAGCCTAGCGGCAGACGCCACAGTGCTCCATTCCCTCCTTTCCCTTACCTACCCGTGGGTGCCCAGAGAGACAATTTAGCCATCATATGGAGGCATCTCCAAGGAACGGGACCTTTCCTTTTGGGGCCCTATAGTAGACTGAGGGGTACTCAGACTGTGAGCTCCCTACGTGCCAGCCCTCCCAGGTGCTGCTCGCCTGGGGACTCTAGGACAGCAGGGCAAATCCCGAGGTGGAGTGAAATAGATCCAGCGTGGGCACCCTGTAGGTGATTCAAGACCAGCACCCCTCCCCCTGGCAGGGTCAGGGATTGATCTCCAGGGCCCAGGGGACAGGCCTGCAGACCAGACCCCGTACACCCAGGTCACGATTGCACTGCCCTGGGGCACAGAAGGGAGATCTGTGAAAGAGCCTACTGAGGATTGTGCGCCGTGAGGGGCAGATCGGAGTGCCTGAGCGGAAACCCATCTCCCAAAAGAGGGCTGCGCACCCAGCTCAGGCTGCGATCTTGGGTAGGGAACCTCCCGGCCCACGTCACAGCCAGGGGAGATCCATTGGCCTGAGGTCCCGCTTGCTGACAGAGGCCTGGGAGAGGCCACGGAGAGGGGGAGGATGGAGGGGAGCAAGACCTGCTCCAGAGTGTGGGTCTCGGACAGCCCCACCCCCAAGCCCAGACTTTCAGCTGAGTGGAGCCATTTCAGCCCCTCCCAGCAGCTTTGTGCAGAAACAAAGAACAGACCTTTGAGCTCTGCTAACAGCAGTTGTGGAGCCTGAGAGCAGGCTTGCCCAACCCAGCCCCACCCAGACTCACTCCCGGTCCTGCCCCCACTGAGGTGGAGATAAGGACACACCTGGAAGTCCCAGGACCCCACCCACCACCCAAGGCACAAGACGACCTCTCTAGAGGAACAAGAGCTGGCTACAGAACCCAAAAACAGCACCGCAGCTCGCTCCTCCCAGCAAGTGCCACCTACTGACAGGGAGGTCATCCTGCGCACCCTTTACTGCATCTACTGATTCATCATAAAGAGTGTGGTAGAATCTCACCCACAAACACCACCTACTGGCTCAGAGACTAAACAGGGAGTGTCAATATCCAAATGAAAATCTAAAGGCAAGAAGGAACAACTGATCCAGATGGGAAGGAACCAGCGAAAGAACTCTGGAAGTATGAAGACTCGAACGGAAAGCAAACTCCCAAAGAGGAACAACAGCTCCCCAGCAATGGACATTAACCAAACTCAGAACAGTAAAATGACAGAAGAAGAATTTCAAACATGGATTGTAAGAAAACTGAATGATATGCAAGAAAAAATGGATGACCAACACAAATAAACCACAAAAAAAATCCAGGACTTGGAAGAAAAATTCACTAAAGAAATTGAAATATTAAATAAAAATCAAACTGATCTCCTGGAAATGAAGGGCTTATTTAGGGAACTAAAAAACGCAGTGGAAAGCCTCAAGAACAGGGTAGATCAAACAGAAGAAAGAATCTCAGAGATTGAAGGCAATTCCTTGCAATTAAATAAGTCAGTCACAGATACGGAGCAGAAAATTAAAACAAAAGAAATAAGCCTACAAGAAATGTGTGATTATGTGAAAAAACCAAACCTGAGGGTGAAAGGGGTTCCAGAAAGGGAAGAAGAAAACACTCAAGGGCTTGGATAAGCTATTTGAAGAATTAATAGAGGAGAATTTCCCAGGCCTTGCAAAAATCTAGATATACAGGTACAAGAAGCTCAACGGACCCCAGGG